CTTATTGATACATAAGTGCAACCCGTCAGTCAATAATGTGCAATATATCCAATAATTTTTATAAAGTGCAACGTGTTATTTTTATAAAGTGCAACTTGATGATATATAAAGTGCACCACTGTCATTTTGGTACATTATCATGTTTGTGTTTTTTTTTTTTAATTGTGGATAGATGATGTGATGGACGTTACAATTAGATTTATTGGAACGCGGTGATAAACTGTAGCTTGTTTTATAAAGTACAACATATTATTTTATAAAATGCAACGTATTGTTTTATAAAGTGCAATGAGTTGTTTTATAAAGTGCAGTCTCGCATACATTATTGTGCATATCGTCGAACAAAATTGTTCGATCTACAATGCATACATTTTTTTTAATGTGCATACATTAGCAATATTGTGCACTTTGCTTACTATTAGTCAATAAATGTGAGTTTATCATATTTTTTTATAAATTATATGATGATGTTCCACTTGACCAATTATTCCAATATGAAGCTCAATTGGAGAAGAATTTTAGTAGGCAAAGAGATTATTTTTCGATTTGTCGTTATTTTACTCCATTTCATTAAACATAAAAAAGTCTAGATATTCATTCATTCATTTGCTTTAACATTATTCTCTCAATTTCAAGTAGTTTTTGAGGTGGTCAATAGATATAATTATTTAAAAAAAAAGTTCCCGTATTTAAAGAAATAATGAATAAATAGATGATAAAATAATATGATTAGTATTTTGTAATATATAGACAGACAATGAATGATATTTGGAAATATATAAATTGGTAGACATTTTACTATTTTTGAAAATGTACAGAAAAATATATCCATTGTTTTTAAATTGAAGAAAAGGATGAAAAAAATGTTGGGAATTTCGATCACACCGAAACTCCACCCAAGATCCTCTGAAAATAAAAAACTGGAGACAAAAAATTTAACGTGGAAAACCCTCTGTTAACGAAGAGGGAAAAACCACCAGGGCAACAAGGCCGTAGAAAATCCACTATGTAAAAAAAAATTACACAATTTTTCTACCACTCACTTACCCAAAATTACCCCACAAAATTTTCTACTCGTTAACCCTAACTCTCACCTTAAAGAATTTTTACCCTAAAGAATTTTTACCAGAGATTAATTGTTAACACAATAACTCTGTGGGATAATTTTACATAAGAAGTAGCACCTCCTTATATAGGAGAAAACTCCCCCCTCTTTCATCCCACTTCCGATGTGGGACAAAGAGCAAAAAACTCAACAAACTCCACCTTGCGATATTGGCCCACATCTGACAGCCACTATTCACTTTGATGAAATTTTTCATAGCTTTCGCCATCATGCTCCACCATAAAAGCATATCCACTCGGACTCGCATCCAAGCATTTCTTCGGCCCATGTCGAAATAACCTTGCTGAAATCTATGGTGCAACTTCCACGTTTGGCTTCCTGGAAGTTCATCAGCCCTCGACACGCTTTTTCCACCACGCACCTTGCATCACCGCCAAACCAATGCCCGTGTGTAAACTGTGGACCCGCTAATTTTAACACGTCCTCTTTCATGACACTTAGCAACATGCCATAAGGACTCCCCTTTCTCTCTTAGCAAAACTCATCCATGGAGAGAGAGACAAAATTAGCTTCTTCGGTATCTCCACTTACCGACTTGGAGCCTTTTGCCGAACCTGCTCCTCCTTTCGGACAATTTCTTTTTACGTGCCCAGATTGTCCACACGTCCAGCAAATCACAACTTGCTTCTTCCTGGAGTTCCTCTTCTTTCCGTCACCAACGAACATGACTTGACCTTCTGGTGAATTGTTTCGTCCACCATCTAGCCTTCTCTCTTCTGCAAGAAGTTTACCAGT